TATTACTGCATGCTGAAAGGAAATAAGGAAAAAAGTGGAAGAAACAGGAAGCGTGCCGTTTTTATACGTCCTACACAGCGCCTTGTCAAACCAAGTGGGGTAATTCCACATCATCATCTATGAACGTATACACGAAATCCAATCCACAGATTCATGAAGTACATTATTGCAATTTCAAATGACCTGAATAGTATTGTGATTGTTCTCTTCACAATATCTTCTTTGGGCACTGGAATTTAGTTATAAGGAACTTTTAGCATTTTGAAATACTGAAGTAATTAGCATTTCAACAAAGATAATTCTAGTACGGCAAACAATTACACACAAAAAGTATACAAATATACGTGATATATATATATATATATATATATATATATATATATATATATATATATTTAATGAAAAACAGACCACTTTAAGGTACCATTACAATAATTTATTTCACCAGAATCCTTTTAAAGGACGCCGGATCATCAGGTAACACTTCCAACAACGAAATGAAATGAAATATATATATATATATATATATATATATATATATATATATATATATATATATATATATATATATTGATCAATTCGCCCCAAGCAAGGCGATAACGTCCCTAAGACGTAAGGAGGCTACTAGAAGTGAAAGAGAAGGAAAAGGCTTTAGAATTAACCAGAAACCCAATATAGTATAAAGTTCAAAATTTAGGCGGAGACGTTAGAAGTATAGAGTTGAAGTGGATTTTCCGAAAACCCAATCCTAAACAGGATACAAGAGATAAACTTCTACTTCTGTTCAAAATATCGTGGATGAATGTAAACCGAACGATAAGTGAACATATCTACTCTTATCGTGAAAAATAAAGAAAAAACAAAGTGTGTGTGTGGGGGGGGTTGATGACGGGGAGAAATTACTTATAGTTAATATTACGTTTTTTTTAATGAATACCAGTATTTGAAATAGATGTCTCGTTTTTATTTTAAACAGTGTGTATTACATGTAATGTGTATTAGATATGTTTATAAAATAATGTTTAACGTAATAAAAATGCCATGATTAAAAATAAATCCATTAAGAATTTGCTTTATAGTTAATATATATAATACCAGGGGATGAAATAGAGCATAAAGCGAGTGGTTCATTTGATAGGCATTTTCATCTTTCAGCTATCAAGGCTGACAGCTGACAATGATGGAAAGAGAGGATGGTTTTATTTTGATTTTGTTTGTCTATTTTTGTCTTTCTTTCTACTATACTATGAAGATATATTTTCATTTTATGCAATGAGGATATGCTTTCATTTTTAAGCTGGTCACATTCAGACTTTCATTAGAAAGTTTCAGAGACCATATTTATTAAATCTTTACAACGTTCTCTTTGTAAACAGAAGGAATGGCTGTTAGGTCTTAATATAATCTGCTCGTGATGTATACTGATGTATTGGTTTATTTTTAATAAGTGTATAACTTATCTTCATTTAGAACACTTTTCCTTTCATTCGTAATACATATTTACTTTGCTAGCTTCAGTACCCCCAAAAATGTACTTACGTTGAGCTTTAAATGCAGCGGTCTCTAAATGTATTTAAATTTGAAGGAAAAAATTGAAGTTCCATTCTGCTAATATATTTACAAGTTTGCATCGAGGTGTAACAAAATTGCATCTTATTAAAAGAAAAAGAAAGAAAATTCCTCGTAAACAACACAATGTAGTACTGAAGTAGAAATATAGAGCTCTCTGTTACTGATCTGTATTGGCCCTTCCTTGCAAGTGAACGCTCTGAGAATTTAGAAGCGAACACTTTATTCAATTCGTTACGACAGGTTGTTCTCATTCTGTTCTTTTTGCTTAGAGGATATATCATATCTATTGTGACACTATTAAGAAGGCGCTGGTAAATTGGGGAAAATGCTCTTCAAAATAAACTAGAAAACAAGAAGAAAAAATTGTTTTGGGATAGACTGAAAGTATACTGATAACAAAAACAAGGAAAACGTTATTTTTCAAGACAAGGAAAGTGGAAGAAAAGGATATATGTTTTTTTCTCTCCCCCCACCCCAGAGTTGAGATGCTGACGACGGCTAGCGTAGAAGCCATCTCTTTTTGGTCAACTTAATCTTAAGCGATGGTATTTTCTTAAATGTCCAATCGACCCCGCGCGGAAGAATAGATTATATTTTAACGCCATCAAGTGCCGACAAGGATAGAGCGTCAATGGGTCACTCGTTCAACAAAGTGGGTAATGGGAAGGCCACCCACGACGGCTAAAAATGAGTCTCTAGCCAAAATTCGGTCAGTTGATAAAGATTTGGATTTTAAGACCGACAACATGTCGGTCTTAAAATCCAAATCTTTATCAACTGACCGAATTTTGGCTAGAGAATTTTTTTCCAACGGGAAACATAGATGGAATTGGTGTTATATTTTTTCTTGTTTGCCTAAGACACGATAAAATTTATTAAAACAAAGGAATCGTCTCTTTGTGCCACTTGTTGACCAAAGATCTGGCGAAGGGAAGCGACAGTTGACAAACCCCAGATGTAACCGACCCCACAAGAATGCGATAAGAATTCCCCGCTGCTGGAAATTTTGGATGATAATTGAACTTAGTAATATGGGCTAGACCACGCCTAGCCCCTGGGAACAGGTTCGATCAGGAGACGGATAGAGAGAGAGGTGGAGGCCCAGGTAGAATTTCAAGGAAGGCAGAGGTATCGCCTGCACCCTTCGGGCGATGTTGGTGAGAGGCCCCCATACGAGATGGAAGGAGTTGGATGGATCGATATTCTGCCACCACCAATCTTTGGAGGAGGGATCTCACCAAATTTTGTCAGGCAATCAATTTCCCAAGACCAGACAAAGAAAGGCTCCGTATAGATCTTGGGATTTCCCCAGGAACCCTCCAACCACCTCACTTCGATGAAATATATCTGCTTTAAAGTCCATAATAAAATTCCGTAGGCATAGGAAAATCATTAATTTTTTTCATATTCCTATGCCTGAAGCGTTTTTTAGAATCCTCATTTAACTCATACTTTTAAAATCTACGATCAATTACTTTTCATAGATATTGCTTTAAAAAGTGCGTTCCAAAGGTTAAAGTGTTAGATTTAAGAAATATATGTGGGCGGCCTCAGTAGCGTCGGTACAGATATTTCCTCGAACTTTTAAAATAAATAAATAAGTTAAAGCAAAAGATAAAGACGGCTAGGGAGAAATTGAAAGAATGAAGATTTATTTTCTTGAAAGAGAGCATATTAACAAACTATTGGAACGTGTTATATGACTTCTGTCCAACCCCGAAATGGAAAGCTAATGGCTGTTACAAAATCTGTCCATACTCATAAGTTTTGCTCATTATATTGTAAAAAGCTATGTTTTACACACATGTCGGAAAAGCATTTCTTTTCAGCGTCTCCCCGAAAACTATTCTCATATACAGACTGGGCAAGTGGCCGGCTAAGCGTGGTGCATACTAAGAAGGAAAGTTAACCCAACAACTGTAAGTTTTCAAACTCGGAAACAGTTTCCTTGCAAGTTTATATCTGTTGTACTCTATTTTTGTAAAATCCATTCCGTGCATTATTCTTCTCTGCTGTTTAGATCAATACGTTTCGGCTGATATGCCTTTCGATCTTCTTCAGGTCACATGTGGTAAACTTTTAATCCAATTCTCTTTTTCTCGTACACAATATTTTTTATAACTTTCACTATCAATTCAACAAGAGCAATTCATCGGCAAAGTTTGTCATATTCCTTCATAGATAGAGATTTAATCGGAATAATTCATAAAAACATTAACACAATACTAGTAAAACAATTCAGACAATATTAGAAAAATAAAATAAGAATAAAACTACATGATTCTTACTGTATCACGGTATCCACCATAATTAGTTTATTCATATACTTTCAAAATATCAGAATTGAGGTTAGAATTAAAACTAAACTGGTCTAAGCATAATAAAGATTTCAGATGTGAAAAAATCCGCACAAAAAGATGATCCATTTAAATTACAAACTCAAAGACAAGGCGCTAAAATAAAATATAAACTAAGGTTTAAAAAAAATGCAGATGTAATAGAAAGCAGATCAAGAAATATAAAAAGAAAATTTTTAACCACTCATTTTTGGTTTGGACAAATTAAAGAAAAACAACGTTCAAATTTATGTCTCCTGAAACAGATAAATACGAGACTTTGCAACAGGTCGTTGTCAGTCAACTCAAAAATACCGGCTTATAAGCGGCTAAACTAAATAAATAACTGAAGCGGCTTGAAATAAAAATACCCACCGAAAACGAAAACTACTTGGCAGCACACTAGTATTCACTTTTCTTCTGTTATTTGTTAATTATGACATACTGACTGAATAAAGTATGAACGTTCTCTCTATCAGACACATGCCCATTTCTCGGAATATTTCAAATACTATTTAAATGAAAAAATATAATCACAGAAAATCAACTTACACTTTTATTATAAAAATGTAAGTAAATTCTACAAAAATTTTTTTACAATTTTTAGAATTTTATCTACTGTATTCATTGTGACTATAACAAATTTAACACCACTAAGCTCATACAGTAATAATAATCACATCTTTTTCATCAAATGTGTTAGGTTTCTAACCTGATAATAGGCATCAGGACATAAGTGAAGAAAGATTATTCTTTATAGATTATGCATGTTTGTATGCTAGTAAATTGTACAATACATAAACTGAGTGGTATAATAAAAAAATATATTTATTTGTACAAATAAGAAATAAGCTTGTGAAGCTGGATACAACGGGTAAAAAGAATAGCTGGGGAAAAGAAGATGAGAATAGACGTGACTTGAAAACGAGACTTCAAAACGAGATTTGTGCTATGGAGGTAGAATGTAGCTGTTTCCGGGAAGGACATCATTGCAAGGTTCTTGCTGGATTTACCTAAGAAACCAGCCACTGCAAATCTCGGATCAGATGTCACACGTACACACGAAGTTAGAATTAAAATATAAACAGCACAATGTCGCGGTAGGTGTTCGCATTGTCTGTTTTTTCGACATTGCAATTTACCTCCCCCATCCGCTGGTTCCCCTCCGTATTTTTTTTTCAATTACACATCCATGTTTCCAAAATGGCCGCTATTTGGGGGAAAATACTGTTTTGGTTATCTTCGGATAATAATGTTCTTTTCGCATGCTTTTACTGATTTTAAAAATAATTTTCCCCCTATTTCATACGATCTTAAGACTTTGTTTTAGGACTAATTGATCTGATTGCCTAAAGTAAAAATTAATCGTTTTGCTAGTACACGAGCTGTGTTCAGTCCGTAGGCATTTTTTTTTTTTCGGAGCCCTAACTTAACCTTGTTTTAAAAAAAAAAAAATCACGTTTTTGTAAAACTTTAGATTTTGAATATTTTTATGGCGCTACAATATTTTTTGAGACTGCAAATAAAACAATAAATCCTACTATTTTTTTAAAAGATGTGCAAATTAAATTTTCTATCTTTTTTTTTCAGTATATGAATTTCATCTCATTTTCGATATATTTAAAAATAATAAAAGTAATGTTTACTACGTAATTTATAAATAGATTATTAATCTAATTTTAATATTTCAATTTATTTTCTCTGTAAATTTTTGAATTACGCACGATCGCTTTATTTGCTAAGTAGCACGTATTTCATGTGGACTGTGGAGTTAAGTATTTTGAAAAATAAATATTGATAGACGAATTTTAAATTCGAGGTCATAGATGTAGAAAGATTTAGCGGACAAAATTAAGGTTAAACGAAAAAAACAAAACAAAAACAAAAAACGGTACGACTAAAAAATCTTCCGATATGTTGGCAACAGTCATTTTCAAAACATCCAACAATCGATGCGTGTCATCATTCGTGAGGGAACCGGATCACGTGACTATTTGTACCATAAGTGGTTTTGTTAAAGAAGCTGGTTCTCTTTATCGGTTAATAAATCATAATAATATTGTTGTTAAATGTCATTCTTTTATCTCAGCTTGTGTATCTGTTTCTTTACGCTGCTGCTAAAATTGTTTTCCTTTTGTTTCTAATGTTTGCCACGATCTCTGTGGTGGGCGATGAAGTACACAAGATCAGATATGTCAAGCAAAAGTTCTTAATTACTGTCCATAAAACTACATATTGACAATTGTTTTAGTGCGTACGTACGTTTTCTATTTTACTCTGAATAAAACTGGTGAAATAGAATAAATTAATGCATAAGAAACTAGAATAGTAATATTTCTTTAAGTTTATTACAACACAGTGATTTAAAGTAGACGAACCCAATTTTGGGTTTGGCTGTATCTTTAATAAGTTTTTTTTAGCCCTACCTTTTTTTTCTCCTTTCCTTTTTTTTTTTTTTTTTTTTTATAAATATTATTCCTAATGTAGGTTTCTTTCTTTCTCCTTAACTTTAAGATTGTTTGGTTTATTGCTACTGAAAATAGCTAATATTAATTCTTTCTTTTGTAAATATTATTTTTCGCGATCAATTTGATACATCTTCTCTTCATAAAAACAATCCTGTTTTTATTTGTTCTGATGGGATTCTTGTGCGTCTTTCCTCACTACTTAAATTACTGCATCACAAAAATGTATTATTAATCAACGTCTTTTTTCCCTTCTCGAGAACGTCCCTTTCACCATTTAAGAATAGTAATTCCTTATTTATTTTTGAAATTAACTAAATTTTCACATTTAGGGTAATCGCTGAGAAGACACGTGTTGTGTCATGTTTCATTTACTAAAATTCCAATCTGACATTTCACAAATTATGGATCTTCTTACTCTTAAACGAATTATTATTATTATTGATAAAGTCTTATTTGGCAATGAAAGAAAATTAAAGTTATATACTTTTATTTAATTTTTAAGTAAAAAACTTTTTTTTTTTTAATGTTTATGGAACTTTTTCAACATTCATTTCTTTCGTGACTTTGTGTTCTTCTCGTTGTAGTATCCTTTTAATTTCCAATAAAATTGATTTTCTTCTATTCAGTCAGCGTAATTGAGCAATATAAAACAGTGGCCCATTTTTTCTTTACAATGAATAATGCCAATGGGTATTATTATGATAGGAAAACAACTTCATGCGTTCATTTAAAAATCGCTTCTTTTAAAAAAAACTAAAAAAAAATTAATAGCAAAAAAGTTCTTACTAACGAACTAATTTTTAAAGACAATGGGCTAAAAATATTCTAAATCTAATAATGTAACATTTTTTTTTGTTTAAAATTGTTTTTAACTGCTAGAGTAGACAATGAGTTCTATTTTATTTTTATTTTTCTATTCTTTTTAAAAAAAATTTTCTTTATTCTAGTCTTTTTTTTTTCATTAAAGGATTAATTAATCAATCAATCTTTGAAACTATTTTTTTTTTACATTTTGAATATTTTTAAAAAACTTTTTCAGCTGAAACTCCGTCCCGAACATTAAGTGACCATTTAAATAGCATTGTTCTTCTTAACTTATAAAAAAAAAAAAAAAAACTATTCGCTGAAGCCTTCCCACCCACAAAAAAGATTGTAAAAATAACAGGTCCTATAATTACAACAACGGTGAATTAACTACAAGAAACTATCTCACTTGATGATTATTTTGTTGTTGTTGCAATGATCACGTCTTTTAGAAAATGTTAACAAAAATTCTCTCTCATCATGCCCTTGCTTCCAACAAGAAATTTCTTTTTAAAGGAAAAATCCCATCTTCATGTGAAAATGATACGGCATCCAAGACAACGTAATGTTTTATTTATAGAAATACTGTGTAAGTGTACCGAAGTCTGTCCCAGTAACGATGGGGAGGGTACATCATGATGATGAATTGGAGCCGAGAGAAAGGAAATTTGAACTGTTCGAGTGATAAATCATTCACCTTCATTAATGCTATTTTCATTCGAGCTAGATTAGTATTTTTTTTTTTTTTTTGTGAACTTACTATTTTGATATGATTTCATACATACATGACCTACTCGTTACAAAAAAAAAAAAAAATCAATGGAATAATTCCAAAGTTTTAAAATGTAAGAAATCAGTAACGTAACCTCATTTTATTTATAATTATTTCTTTGTAGTTGATCAAAACAAGGCATAATAGGTGGTGTATTTGATAGCGTGCAACTACTCCCTTTTTCTCATTTAAAAATAGCTAAAATAAAATAAAAAAGTGACATCTCCTGGGTCTTACATGCGAAGTTGAAGTGTATGTCTGGTACGTTAATGTTTTTTACTCAAACGCCATAAATGACTGGTACTCGGACCTCGTCTAACTCTACATGTCATTGTCATTCAGTGTAAAAAATTGAAAGTAATAACGTCTCAAATTGAACAAATATGCAAATAACAAAAAATGAATAGTTTACCTTAAGTTAATAGATGACTTAAAAACATTTGTGTTTTTTTTTTTTTAACTTAATGTCATTGCAACAATGTGACAACGACCATTTTTTTTTGTTTTTATGCAAATAAAGAAACTAAAGATCGTTAGATTTTTTTTTTCTAAGTTTTAATACTTTTTTTTACTTTTGAAGAGTAACCATTGTACACATAACTTATGAGAATTAAATATACATATTTAAATCTTAGGCATTTCAACATGAAATACTCTGGAAATGATTTTTATCAATGGAAATAATATAAACTTACCTAAACCCACAAAGTGTAATTTATTTCAGTAATTAAATTCAAATCCAACAGTTAATAATTAACTCTATGGATGCTTTTCTCATTTCATAATTTTAAAAAAAGCATACAGTTAATAATATTAATTCCTGTTCTTTTATTGTTCACCCTACTTTAATTCCATTCACTTATGTACAAATACCCTTTGGAAAGGTATGAAGCCATCTCTTCTCCCCCCAGCTATGGGTTAAATAGTCGGACAGACTGGGCTCTTTAGCCTTGGTTGGCAACCTACTGCAGGAAAAATCATCTTCTTCGTCAGCCATGTATTGAAAGATACATAATCGCCCAAGTGTGTATCACATGGGGCACTTAACTGACTGACTACTTGATAATGTTTTCTTTTTCTATTCTCTCTCACTCATTAATCCATTGCTTATTAGTGGCTTTATTGACTTTCTTGGGATGAGATGAGTAAAAAAAAATGTATAGAGCTTTATGTACAATTCTAGATGAATTCAGTCTTGTCTTCTTGATGTTATTAACACAATGTTTTGGATTATCCATTCTTCAACTTTTGTTGGTGCATAATTTACAAGGAGGGGGGGACTTCTTTTTTTCTTTTTTTTTTTCAGTTTATATATTTGACAAAGACTAAAGGAGGAGCTCAATTATCTCAGAAAAACTTTTTGTGTGCAATTTTAAAGAATTCTTCAGTAACTAATATTTCTTCCTTGCATATAGATTTCAATATTTAAATAAAAGAAAAAAACTCAGCTCAGCTTAAGATTGAGTTTGATGTTCAAAATATTCATTCATTTCTTTGCATTATCAATTTGGCATTAAAGAATTTCTTAATGTATAATTGCAGGGATGTAAAAATATATTCATCACTGTATCCATAATCTTTATTTTTATCATTGATTGATTGATGTTTTCTACAGCTTATCAAAATTTTGCAGTTTATTTATAACCAGAAAATATTTTTAGAGTGTAAGAAATTTTTTTTTTTTTTTCTTCTGAGATAATGATTTAGTGATACAAGTCTTACTAATTAACCCATAACTGGGGGAGAACAGCTGGATTCATACCTTTCCCAAGGGTATTTGCCCATAAGTGAATATAACAAACTCAACTGAAATTGGAACACAGCTTCCCAATTAACAATTCTGATCTATTATCTATTACATGACTCCTGCATTCAAGCTTATAGCTCCTGATATTCCCAAGTGGTCATCCACCTAGGTACTGACTATGCTTAATGTTGCCTAACTTCAGTGATTATACAGTCTATATTTGCCAACAAAAAAGGGAAATTGCACAGGATTCAAATTAATCAGTGTCAATGTACCTGAAAGTTATTATTATCCAGACTTTATCTTTCAATGATAAACAACTGCTTATTAATGAAAGTATTAAAGCTTCAGAATTAAAACGGCAAAAGTTGTAATGAAATTTATTTTCATAACCTTGAAAATAAACTGTCTTAGGTTTCAAATATATTAATGATTCTTCTCAAAGTTACAGACAATACTCAGTTATTTTAATTATTTATTCAATATAAGGAACATGATATCTTTAATTGTTTTTACCAATTAATATCATAATTGATGAGTGTCATTTTATTTCATTTATAACAGCATTTGTTTAATGTTGAATTAAGTGACTATTTTAATTTTGCTGGAAGCTTTTCAAAATATTTTATCCAACCAAACTGAGGTCTTTTCTTATTTTTAAAAAAATCTTTTTATAAACTTTTTCATGGTAAACACTCTAATCAAGAAATAGAATATAAATTGTTTTTGGACATATGTTTTGTGTTGATTAGCATTAGAAATCAAATAATTCACTTAAACAACAGAAAAATAAAATGTCACTAAACTATAATTTCAAGTGGGTTTTTGTGAGCTATGTAAATCGTAAATAAATTATATAAATGCAGAAATGAAAACTTTGTTTGTTGAAAATGTCACCACTTTATATATTTTTCACTTTATGTTAGAGATTAAGTTTGAACTTTTTACCTAGAAAATGCCCCTTCCCTTATATGTAGGTATCTCCAAAGATTTACTAAAAAAATGAATGAAGGAAAAATGCTCCAAACTTAATAAAAACAAAGTTTTATCATCAAAGTCTTTGTTATTATTAAAAGGAAAGACCAAATAATTTTTTGATTATTAAATGATATTTTTTAATCCTTTTTAGAATCTTCAAAATTTTTTGTTAAAAATTGTTTTTCTTGTGTCCACAGGTGACTATAAATTAGTATGGGAATTTTTAGCATTTTTGCAGCGAGTTGGAAATTCTTTCAAAAATCAAATAATTGTCAGATTTTAATGAAACTTTCAGAACTTATTCACAAATGAATGAAATTATTTTATAAGCATTTCTTTTTTTAGAAAATCTTGATTTTTTTTTTTTTTTTTTTTTTTTTTTACAGCTGTTAAACAACACCCTACCCCACCTCCACTTATTTAATTTTATGGAATTTCAAGAAATTCATTTTTATATTGCTTAATTTTTTATATTAGTTATAACCAGAAGTCCTTGGAAAATTTAAATTAACATTTTTTTTTGTGCGCGACTATATTAGTTAAAAGCAGAACTCTTTGGAGAATTTAAAGCAGGGGTGGGCAAACATGCAGCCTGCCAAAAGAATTCATCCAGCCTGCCAAGTTTTAGTAAATTTGAAAGAGAAAGTAACTAAGCAACGTCAAATAATATTGTGAGCATTTTGTTTTTTCCAGCAGGTGTGCGTATGCATGGGAGTGCGCTGATCAAATCTTCCCGCAGGTGTGCGTATGCATGGGAGAGTGCTGATCAAATATACTATGCAGCCCAAAAAAATTGTGAATTTTTTAATGTGGCCCTTGCACTGAAAAGTTTTCCCACCTCTTATTTAAAGCATTGTTTTCTTTTTTTTTCTTTTTTTTTTTTTTAAATCAGATCCTGTCTTAACCAAAACTCTGGTCTGAATTCTAAATTTTTTAAATCTTTTTAATTAGAATAATTTAAATAAGTTTTTGAATCTTTTAAAATTCAGTTTTACTGGTGAAACTGTTATTATGAATTAAAAATATATTTACTAACCATATTGTAAAGAGTTACAATCTGAGGATCCCTGAGTACTTTTAAAAAGAATTTTGAATTGTTTTTGTGTGTGTATAAATGTGCATATTTTTGTAGATACAGATAATCATACACGATATTATCAGAAAATAAGTGATAACTAAAGCCAAAATTATCTAAATTTCAATAAAACATTAGATTATGAAGAATATTTTTTAAATTTTAAAGATTAGTGAGTACTTATTAAATTTTAAAGATTAGTGAGTACTTATATTATTAAACTATTTTTTTTTTTTTTTATGGGTAAAGCCATAAATAGGACAACATTAGATAAAAATTTGTCATCGAGTTGTCACAGTACTGTCAACATAAATAGCTATCACTGTGTTAAAAAATGCATTTCTGCACTATTTTAAACTTAAAGTAAATAATATTTGTTTCAAATCAGATTAATTGTACTTTAAATTCACTAACATTCCTCAAATAAAGTTTCAGAAAGCTATATTTTATTTTTGGAAGGCTTTTTAACATAGAATTACATTTTTATAACAGTTTGCTAAAAATGGTGCTAAATTAAAAAATTTCATTTTCATTTTGAACCTTAGGTATTGCATATCTATATAGGTACCTACTTTCATGTATGTGAAAATATGTAAAACTCTTTTCAAATGTAATTTTTGTCATATTTAAAAATAAATTGTATATCGCCACAAGTTATTGCCAGATGATGTAGAAGACTAATCTTTGCAATAATAATATATATATATATATATATATATATATATATATATATATATATATACACACACACACATTTTCATCCCTTTTTGGCTTCAGAATAATCAAAATTGAACCAAACATGAATATGCCCAAAAATAAACATCATGTAATATTTTACTTTTACCTGTGGATAAAATTCCCTACCTTGTCCATACTATGAAGTTACAAATACTTGGATGCTAATTTCTGTCCTTTTTTTTTTATTGATATCTTTTTCTATGATTACAAAATAAAAAAATCTATATTACTGATAAAGATAAAATACTTTTTTCTCATTTAAATCTAAAATCATCATAGCCTGAAATTAGTAAAATTGTACTAACAAACTTCCGCATTGCTTTCTACTGACTGGACTATCCCAATTTATGTGAAGTAGTCGGTAAATCCTTAGATTGTTTTCATACATGAATAAATATATTGTATATCGTAATATCATTTAAATAGGGATGCTGATAGTTTTATATGAAAAACTGCATCTTTGACAATTTATGATTTTATATAAATGGGATTTGTAGTAAATTCATTCAAACATGTAAACATTGAACAGTTAAAAAAAAAAGACTTCTCTTCCAATAAAAATGTACAAATTTTGTTATTTGTTTATTTCCTTTTGCATATATACATTTTTTTTAATCTATTTGTCCTATCTATTTTCAGAGACAACAAAATAGACAACCGGAACGAGGAACATAAATTTAGGTCAGTAAACATTATCTTCCCAATATATAAGATGTACACTGAACTAAATTAAAATATACTAACAAGTTTGGTTGATTAGTTTTTATTTTATTTTTTTTTCACTGTTTTGTAAAAAAAACATTTCATTTAGAAAAAAAATACATGTATGCATATTGTAGAGAGCTTTAGAATCTTAGCATTTTCTTTAAATGGAACAATTTTAAATTTCTCAAGAGTGCCTAATATGTTTGTAATTTGAATTATATTGTATGAATAGTATAGGGAAGTAATCATGTTACCTAAATTACTTTATTTATATATATGTATAACCTTGATATAATATAACTTGTTCTTTTTTTTAAGCTCTTTCAAAGAGGACAAAATGAAAATTAAATTGCAGAAATCACACTGAAGATGATTCTCTTTCTAACTCCAGTACCTGGAGAATGTTAAGTTACTTGAGAAAAATTTTTTTACACCAACAAGATTTAAACGTGTGACAATGAGAAATAAAATTGACTTAAGTCTTGTCACTGAATTTTGTCCTTTATAGATTTATAATGTCAGTGTAACCCTAACCATGTGACAATAAAGCATTGGTTCATGAATTTGGTGATATAGTAATTGTGAGTTCAATCCCAGGGCCAGGCAGTGTACTTGGGCTCAGTGGAAACAGGGTGAGCAATAACTGAGCAGTGCTAAAATAAGAACTAGACAAGATATCCCTGGACATGGTCAGAGTAACAAAAACAATATACCCCCATAGATTAAATAAAGGGTTCAGTTTGAAATTCCCTAAAAGCTACCTCCTGGATTGACATACACCTGATGACGGCCAAATGGCCGAAACGTGATAACCCCAACAAAGATGAGGGCAGTAGTCCACATGTAAAATAGTGTAAATAATAATTCCTCACCCCAGAAATTCAGATGGAAAATATCCAATTTTTTTTTAAAATTCTTAATTCCTGAACCCCAAACAAAATGTTTGACTAAATTTGATCCAGGTATGTTGAAAATTCAGATAGACTGATACACATGATTAAGTTTTAGTTTTGTATTGGTATATTACTTCATATCAAAATGAAATATTTATTCAGTATTTATAAAAGCTAGTGAGTTTACTTGACCCTTGTTTATATATTATATCTTTTATTTAGTTTTAAATACTAAAAGGAACAACTTAAAGGAATAGAAACTTACTATTTTAGTCATAATGTAGTTTTTGTTTGAACATTTATTCTGTTACTGGTTTTGTTTTTTTGAAAAATGAAGTTTCCTGGGATTTTCCACAGCTTTTTCAGATTGTCATTAAACAACTTCTAATTATAGAAGACCTCATCACAAAGAGAGATAAAAGTAGGTTTATTTATCCACACAGGCTTCTATACATGAACAAGATTATTTTCTTTGTTTCCCTATATAATTCTATTAACAAACACATTTGGAAATGTATATATTATTCCAAACATCAAGAGAGCAAGAAGACTGGTTTGACCATCATGCTATTGTTTACAAGTTCATTTGAATGTTGTATGTTTATTTGTAGTGCAAGTGTAGATTTGCAAGCCATTTATTCTCACAAACGATTGATATTTGAACCTTTGTGTTAAAAATCTGAAGCTTATAAAATATTAATGAAAAATTCTATCATATTATAAAACTTTCAATAATAGCACAATTGTTTTGATTAAAAAATAATTAATTGAAACTTTCTCATTAACCCTAGGAAAAAAAAATTACAGGAAAAATTTATTTTAACTTTTCATGGAAATATTTTTATTAAATCAAAACAAAGAAAAAAATTTTTTTTTTATGAAATTTCATTTCACATAAAAACTCCTAAAGCAATAATCTTTTTGAAGGTTGCAGATACGAAATACATTTTAATCAGAAAATAGAAATAAGATAATTTAAGCCATCTGCTAGTGGTTTTTTGGGGGGGTGGGGGGTTAAAGAATGTTTTCTTTTTTCTCAAATAGAATATGTAAGCAAATACTGAATGTATTTATTTGTAACTATATTAAAAATGCAAAAACATTTGTCTTTTTTTCTTTCAGTTCAACAAATGAACAATAAAAATATAATTATTTGTGTTTAGCTCAGTTTATTATAATTTTCAGAAATTTTTGATAATTTACTAATATCTCCTGTTTCTTATGAATTACTGAACTTCATGACTTACTTCTTCATATTTTTTTTTTTTTTTTTTTTTTTAGATATATATCCATGTTTCTTCATATTAAGTCTGATATTATTTATTTTATTTTTTGTCAGAATTTTTTTCATATAGGCTATAAATAATGAACTTCACTTAGAAGAGGTCAGACTTAACTTTTATAATCCAAGGATTTATTTGAGTGAAATATGTGAAAATTTAAAATCCAAAGAATGTTAATCTTTCAATTTATTTTGTATATTACCTTTTCTATTGTATTTTTGTTTGTTACAAATAAAACATCAATTTATTAAACACAAAACCTTCAGATTAAGTTATGTTTTTCTTTTCATTTATTTTTCAAATGTCAGTATTATACTTCCTTCCTTGTAAACCTGTTATTTTCCTTTTGTTAGACTTCATTTAATCCAGATTAGTTACAGTGACACACATACACATACACATACATACACCATTTTTGTTAAATTAAAGCCAGCTCCAATTATGTAGTTGTCAGTCATTAATATTATTTTCTTTATTGAACCTTTTCTAAATACAATACTTAAGAAATTTGAAATCGCAGTTTGCTTGAAAGAAACTCTCTACACCAGCTAAATTTTAATGTTATATCAATAGAATTTTTTTTTTTTTTTTTTTTTTGCAAATATGTATTAGGTTGACATTAGTCTCAAGTTATAGCAATAATATGAGAATGTCTTATCACGTATTCACTTACTTATGATGACTAGACTACCTAAAGAAAATTGATGATAGAATTGAGGATAATTTGGATTCATGCCTTCCTCTCTAGTATTAATACAGAACATACATGACCAGGAATGCTTATTCCTTATCCTGAATGTGGAATTACTATATGGAAAGAGAGTTAATTTCTTGGACTTCATTTCCAGACTAAAGCTATTCATCCAAAACCAGTGTGTACTCTTTAAGTGATATTTTATTATATTATCAAAAAAAAAAGTAAGTAAATATTAATTATTGCTTGAATATAAAACCATGCCCACAGCATAATCTCATTATAAGAGTAATACTTTTCAGTGAATTATTAATTAGCAAGTTATAGTTTGAGAGATCTGCAGGTATTACAGAATTGTATAAATCCAAATGACAAACTTTGAGAACTACTACTCTGATGTCATTTTTTTTTTCCTTGAAGGTTACATATAAAGTTTATTTAATGTATAATGTTCATTGTTTGTGTAAGTAAATAGAATCAGTATAAATGATAGCCACAAAACCATAACATTTAATTGTGAATTTTCTTCACTGTTATGTGTAGATTATTGACATGATAGACATGACATTAAAGAATGTATGTGTTAGATTTCTATCCGTTTTTGCTGAATCTTGTATAATTAATAAAACCAGTTGCAGTTTTGATGTCGAACGACGAAAAGACACCAGTTATAGATTGACAGGTTTACTTGTAATGTTATTGTGTTTCTGCTCATGTGTTGAGAAGTCTTGGATTAGCCTTTGACATCTCTCTAATAACTTTTACTATTTTATACGCATTATTAATAATTTTTAAATATTTATCTGAGGGCATTAAAATATGTGATTATTTAACATAAATCTAGAACGGTTTTGCTGAAATAATACACTACTACTACTTCCATACTAGTGACATCCAACTCAAACATTTACAATATGTTTTGGGTGCAACCTGAAAATGGTTACTTTTATCAGTTGAATGAGATGGTCTTGGCAAAGTTACCTAAATCTATGACATAAATAGATTAAACAAGTTTAAAATAGATTCCTATGTGTTCTCCTCATTCAAGTATCAAAATGTTTTTAAAAGAATCAACCAAATCCACTAACTTATTTGATGGCATATAGGACCCCCCTTCCCAAATTTATATTTAATATAACAGCATTAAGGAGTTAGTTATTTCTATGCTAGTTATGACTGTCAAAGAAGAATTCAGGACCTGAATAGAAAAGGTTGTATGCATTAAAAATTTAAATTAAAAAAAAAAAAGTTTGTTTGCCACCTACTTGCACCTCCCATCACCTCCAGTTGACTTATGCACTCCAGGTTAAGAACTACTGGATTAGCATATGTTTACCCAAGTTCAAATTTATACTTATACTTAGATAAAAATGTTCTATAAACTAAACTATGACTATTAATACTACAACATTCAATCAGAATAATTTTGATGAAACTTAAAGAAAAGTAGATCAATAAATCCATTCTTCTAACTGGCTATCTACCCAAATTGTTTCCTTGCTGTGTAATCTCTTGCTTTGTATTGGAAAAGATTTTCTATTTATTCCTAATATCACTGATAAATTTGACTTGTCACATTTCTTTTTACTGTAGTAAAACTCTAGCTTGAAAGGTAGTTTGTATGTACTTTTCTCAAGTGATTGTGTAGAATAGGACTACTAAGTCAACACTTAACACAACAATTAATTCCAAAACCAACTACCTCAATATTGCTACACACAGTGTTAATTTCTATCATGGTCTTTTTCAACTGTTCAAATCTCTTAGAATTGTTATGATGTCTATACTGATGCAGAAAATTAACATATTAGAGGTGACAAATATTTATGAACGTTAAAAGGCATAACAAAAAGATCCAAGTAAATTAAGGAACATGTAAATTTGTGTACAACTTTATCCAGATTCTTTGAACAATAATAAAAAAAATTCTATGAAAAAAGTCATTTACTGGCAAGTTCTTTTTAATCAATACTCTGTTTTAATTGCATTGCATCATAGCTACGCTTTTAAAACATTAGAAAAACAACACCAGAAACCACATGAATTACAGTAGAGAACCCATTTTAGAATTTGTATTCTCTGATTCAATCAAATTAAAAAAAATGC